TGCTATTTGGGGGGCCAACAAAATAAAAGGACTTTGAGGACACTAAAAAAGCACTCACCAATACACCTGGACTAGGACTTTCTAACCTCACAAAGCCTTTCTTCCTCTATGTCCATGAATGGTATGGAATAGCTGTAGGGGTCCTGACTCAAATGCTGGGAACATGGCACATCCAGTGGCCTATCTATCTAATCAGCTGGACTCTGTATGTAGCCCAAGGCTGCTTATGGGCCATTTCAGTCATGGCCCTTCTGGTGTTGGAAGCTAATAAACTAGCTATAAAATAAGAATTAGGTGCCCGTGTTCTTCATTAATTTTGACACTATTAGAGTACAAAGGATAATGTTGGCTAAATAATGAAAGAATGGTCAGTTACCATTGGGGCGGGAAAGCAAACCTTTTTCTTAAGATGGCAGCTGATGCTTAAGATGGTCATCCAGGTGCTAAGAAAGGACTTCCACTGGGTAAGAAAGTCTTTATGTAGTAAAGTTGTAATACATCTAAATAAAAAAAGAGAGAGAGAATATAATTAAGTGATAAAAATGTCTATATAAGTGAAGCGTAAATATTAAAAGGTTTGTGTACAATTAAGTTGGTTACACATAAGTAGTTAAATCTACTCAAGGTTTTTCCCTAAAGTCAAATATTGATGTAGTGATATAAACCAAAGTTTAATAGATATGTTGAAATGACAAGGATTTCTTCAAATATGAATTTACTCTTAACATTGAGTCTGTTAAGTTTTACTACTTAGAGCAATAAGTGTTAAAAATCAGGGTTTATATTGTTATTTTAGAATATTGAACTAAATTACAGAGCCTAGATTTTTCTTTAAAAGCTAAATTTGATTAATATTTAAACATCAATGTAATTATCACACTGTATACTTTTTTGTATACTAAATGTGTTCACATATTTCAGGTATAGAAGTCTTTAAAGTAAAACTTTTATTTTATTTTTATATGTGTATTTATTTATATGTGGTACTGAGGATCGAACCCAGGGACTCCCTCACACATGCTAGGCAAGCACTCTACTGCAGAGCCACAACCCCAGCCCTGAAAGTAAAAGTTTTGAAAGAACACTTTATTAAGCTAGTGGTCTCCAAATTAAAGTTGTCTCTAATGGTAATTTTAGACTTATAAAGATAACAAATTTTATTCAGGATTTATTTATATCATTAAATGTTCTGTAACCGAATCTAAACCTTATGTTACTTGTTACACTGGGATAAAAATGTAAATGTATTTCTAAAAGATAATGAGGGACTTATCTACTTAAAGATTATTCTTGTAAAACATAAAAACGTTTTGCCACTTTTTACACAAAAAGAAAGTTAAACCTCTCTTAGCCTTTCTTTCATTCTTATTCCAGATAATGTCATATTGTGTTAATTAACACAATCAGTTAGGCCATATTCAACAAATTTAAAGGTATATTCAAAAGATTGATATTTTATTTTAAAGATTGCTGTGGTCTCAAACATGGGACATAATGTATAACTCAGCTAAGGTTTAAGATTATGTACAAACTAAATATCTTTTTTTACTCTTGTTAATTTCAAGAGTTTTTACTCTTGTTAATTTCAAATTTTTTGTTTAAACTTTAACTGCTATATGTTATCACCTTACAAAAGTACAACTTCAAATATAACAACCTAAAAGGCCATCATCTATAGACAGATAGTATATAATGCTAACTTCCAATACTAATAGAGACCCTAATTAAATAAAAGGGGCAAAGATGATTGTAAAGTTATAAACATTAAAGTTAAAGCCAGGTATTCTTACTTTAAGACTGGATTGCTGGATATAAAAGATCAAGGCTTAAAGATTAAGGTTAAGGGGGGTGGGGGTGGGCAAGAAAACAAATATTTGGATCTTCTCCTCTGAGTCAGCTTGAACCCAGGGAATAAGAGAACTTCTCTAAGAGCTTTGCAACTCTGGTTCACATGACCTCCCAATCAGGTGAATTACTGGGACCTTAAAAAAAGAAATCCAATCAGTACACATACTCCAAAAGAGGAGAATCACTGGAAAAGACAGATATCCCTGGTGTTTCCGAGGGAAGCCACATGGTCAGTGAGACCTTGACTTATCCTGTTGGATGGCATTAGCAGAGCTAAACAGCTGCTCATTAGTTCCCCAACAGAGACCCCAAGAGAACTCAGCTGACTCTTAATGATAAATAAGAACAAGGTCACTTTGACCAGCTTGATCTTGAATACCTAACAAATACACTTAAAATGAAAACAGAGGTCATTTCAATAAAAAGATATTTTACAAAAATCAGATGGCATTAAGTAACTTAACTAAATGTTGTGTTATATTCTTGATAACTCTGACCAGGTTAAAGATTTACATTCCCAAATTTAGCTTTGTCCTCTCTGGCCTTTTAGGCCTTATTATGAGGACAACTTCTCAGCTCTGACACATCCTGGTGAGAGATTATTGATTTCTATCATCTTCAGGATATTCATTGACATGTTCCAGATGATAAAACATTTATCTTGTATTAATCTCATATCAGTACTCATGTCTTTATGCTTCTTTCATAGACCCACCCATTCCCTGTAGAGTCTCAGGACTAAACATGCAAGGTCATTCCAGGAGAATTGGGCTGCATGTAATAACCACACAAAGGCAGAGAAACACCTTTTTCTTCGGGTAATACGATGGCTCCTGCAACCTTGGGGTCTGTGAAAAGAGAGAGAGGAGCACAGGTTGAACCCTTTCTTGGGAAGAAGCCATTCAAATGAGGCAAGGGGTAGGATTACAAGGGAACAGGTGAGTGTAGCTCAACTGCTGCCCACATGGGCAGCTGAACTTAAGGTCGCTCGTGTGAATTTCCAACCAAAGAAAACACAGACACACACTTTACCTTTAATCAAGCTTCAGGATGGTTTCTCCACTCTCTGCCTCAGGCTCCCCAAATGGGAAAGCAAGAGAAAGTCATGGGAGGCTGGTGAGAGAGAATGAGCATATTTAGAAGTGGGCTTTTATTGGGGGACCCTCATTCTTAGAAAGTTCCATCCAAAAAAACATCAGAAGTGGCAGGGTTACAAAGGACAGGTGAGTGTAATTTGACCCAAAGGGTCATGGTGTGACAGGCCTACATCTGAAGATACACCCTCAAACTTCTTGGACCAGGACAATGTCCAGATCACTACAATATGTAGTGCCAGTCAAAGTCTCTGCCCCCTAGGATGGAAGGAGCAGATCGTTCAGAGTGGCTCCCCATACTCAACCCTTTGGGTGCCATGCCTTATTATCCAAGCAAGGGAAAAAATGGAGTATGAGTCATGGCACTACTGAACCAAACTACAGTGCTCTTTCAGATCCCCATGGTGCCTCATGACTAAAGGTGCCTGAATTTGGAGTAGCTACCCACAAATTCCCCCCTGATTAATATTTAAAGGCAATTGGGTACTACATGATTTAATCACCCAGATTCTCGGTCCAAGGTCATCATAATCTACTATTGAAACACAAAAAGAATTAGTAGAAGACATATCATTTCAATAATATAGTCAACTTGCAATATCCAGGTTATTATTATTACTCTGACAAACAATCATCCGAAGATTTTTAATCTTTTCTCAATTTATTGGGAAGCATTGCGTTGGCCACAGTAACACAAATGAATTTAATTGGCATAGCATTTAAGCCTATCCACAAACCATAGAGCAGAAGGCTCATTTGCATTATTCAGAATATTGTCTTCTAGAGCATTTTAATTTAGTTCAAATTCTTCCATCACAACTTATCTGAGTTTGAAAGATCTTGGAAGTAATTTAAGTCAAATCTTAAGAAAATCCACATGTTGTAAGTTTAAACCATCATCATAAAGCCTATAATTATAGAAGCAATAAATGATATGTAATGTAGTCACTTCAAGGATCATGAGATCAGGAGCTTGCCTAGGTCTAGTTAATTGGCATGCACCTGTTTCAAAGCCTGAATGTTAACTTGAGCATATTATAGGTCTGAAATATTAGCTGGTAATAACTAGTGATACAATAAGATAAGTTGTATTCTTACCAGCTACAGGATATTCATCACCCTTCCTCTTAATTCTCACATTGAAGGAGTTTTTTAGGTCTGTCAGTAATGTAAATATTTTGAAGGTAGAAGTCAAACATCAAAACATCCTTTTGGGTGCCAACTCACTGAGGGTTAGGTTATTATAATAAACGTCCAGGTGTTATGGCATCCTTGCATAATCAGCTTTGTCAATTCTGTGAGACCAGCCTAAAATATATCCATTATTTCTAGATATCTTGTGTTGCACTGGCAAGACACTTGCACAATCTAATCACGTAGGAAAAGTATCAATTCCTATTGTAGAATGAGTAGGAGAGTAATATGTTGGTGGATATCTTATGTACATATAGAAAAAAATCTATTTTAATAATCTTTCTGACAATTGTCCAGAAAAATAAATATAGTCTTAACTTTTAAGGACCAGCATGATTGGCTGGTTTAGGTTTTTTATATGCTGTCTTTTTCTCAAAAGATACTCCCAGACAGTCTGTTTATCATAAGATCAACATATAGGAATAATTGAACATTACAGTCAGTACAATTAATCTAGTTCATGGGTGGACTTTCCAATCCACACTTCAAGGCACATTAAAGGTGGACCTGAGAATGAGTCCATAGAAATCTCTTCATAATTTTTACTTACCTGAAAAGCTCATGAAGCTGCATGGCTATAAATTCTGCAGTTGGGAGATTTACCTTACTATTTCAGGCTTTTCAGTCATTTCCATGATGAGAGGTTTCAACTCTCCTTTGAAATCTGATTTAATTTACTGAATCATGTTGAATAACAGTAAAACTCTCAATATTACAATTTAAGAAAAAAATTTTAAAATGTTTGTAAGATCTAGTATATGCTTACAAACATTAGATATTTGTAAGGGGTCCTCTTTTTCCCCTTTCTTTATTTAAAAGACTGGTTTAAATCATCATATCATAAACTTAAATTATAGGGAGCCCTCTATCTCTTCTTGAGAGAAGTTTCCAAAATATCTCTATATCTCAGAATATTATCCTTTAAATAGGTGTCTCTCAATTGTCTTTGAGAAAATATGGTTAAGCTTACTTTCCAGTGTAGGAAGTAGTATGTAAATCTTACCATTTTTTATGGATAATAGGTCCAATCAAAGAACTTATATAATACCAAAGAATTTTCAACAAAGTTTGCAAACTTTATATCTCAAAACCAATGTACCACTTTAATTTGAAGAATGTCAATGTTCTGCCAAATCTCACAACTATCCAGCAAAAAAAAAAAAAAAAAAGTAATTTGTAAATTTCAGCAAGGTCTTTGAAGCCATCAAATTTAGTATCTAAGGAGAATTGTCAAATTTGGGATCTAAGTCAGCAGTTAAATATATTTAGTGTTTAATCAAGGATGTGAATATATTTACTAAAATTAATCCTTGCCTTAAATAATGAGAATCATTAGGCAACAAAGACCACATCACATCAGCACAGTAGAATCAAGAAAATAGCCTGAAATACTCTTGAATTAATCAGTATGAAAGATCTTGGAAGTAATTTATAGTCAGTCCAATACATATAAATCTCTTTTTCAATTGTTTAACTTTCTATATCATCTGTCTACATAATGATATAAATATTTTTCTTTTTGGAAAATACTTTTATCATTAAAATCCAGAATACAAAGACTTGTTTTACCCAAAGATGATTCATTACTTCCTCTTAGGACCTCCAATGTGTGCTTCCTCTCTGTGGAAGTATCTTCTTTTCCTTTTAGTATTCTCCCTGGTTTTCCTTTGAAACAATATTTGAAAACCTTAGAATCTAACAAATTATTTTACCTTGATAAGAAGAAACACCTCAAATGAAAATATAGTTAAAGCCTTTGGATATTTCTGTAGACAGAATTAATTATATTTGTTTATTACCTTATAAAGTTTGTAAAACAATTTGAGACAGATTACTTGATGGTTGTATTATCTCTTGAAAGTAAATTTGTAGTAAAATACATTTATCTCAAATACCTGTAATTAAAAGGCAGAGCATCAGAGAAATGCATGTATAAGTAATATATAAATTATGTGTTTTCTGTTGAAGAAAAACAATTAAATAATATATATTAATTAAACAATTAGACATATATGCTAATTATTTTATGAATTAACAACTACAGGTTGTCCAAATCCCTAGAAAAAAATATATATTAAGAATAAGGGCATAAATTATAATTGTATTAACTTTATGCAACCACATGGTTCTTATGATATTTGGATCCATTTTAATTTTCCTTCAATTAGTAGTGCACTGTTTTATATTTCTGCTGTAACATATTAAGATCCTTCTTTATACATTTACTTATGTCTTGTAATTTTATACTCAGGAATGAGAATGAGGTCTTTGATTATCACAGGGACATTGCTGGCTTTTGTCCCTGTGACAAGCAAATGCCTCCTCATAACCTTCAAAATTAAAAGCAAAATATAAAAAAGTATATGTATGTCTCATAATTGTTACATTATCTCTGCAATTTTTCTTAATAATACAGAATAAAGAAAAAAAAAGGTAAGTTACCTTTGAAACTTTGAAAAAGTTACGCTCAGGGATGCAGTGTAGAAACAGGTGGAATTAAATTTTGCCTGAAAAAGACCTTTCATTAGTATTTATAGGTGGATATTGTTGAAAATGCAGTCTCTGTGCAGCTCCTGGTAGCAGGGATAAAACAGGAAGTACAGGTTAGTGACTGGAAAGCGGGACCAGAAGTCCTGTCTGAGTGACAGTGAAAGGACCAATGAGAAGCCGGGAAAATACAGGAGGCAGGACCAGGAAACCAGCTTGGGCCTTCCAGGCTTCCTGTTGTTACCTTGGTGATGGAAACTGCAGGGACCAGCTGTTCCTTGTCTGGGGCAAAGGCTCCCTGAGCTTCCCTAGCCACTTGCATTCCATTTGATTTGTTTGTATTTTCTGCAGCTGGGGAGGATCCTAGGGTGGGAGGCAGCTTGCCTTGTCTCTGCTCCCTGTGCTTGCTGAAGCTGGTGTTCTTCTGTCTTTTCTATTTTCCCTTGCAGCACATGGAACTTTAAAATGTGTGTTTTAACAGCAGATGCCAGTGTTACTATTAGATCTTAAGGCAGTCTGCATTTGGCACCTAGGTCGGGTTGTTCAAGGGTTAAAAGCACTGCTGGTGGTGGGTCTAGTTACAGACCCCATTATAGAACAGTGGCTAAAGTCTTTTGATTCTGATGTGGTAGGTCAAGAATGTAGCAAAGAGGTTCAGCAAAAACTGAGTATTCACAAGAACAATAGAAAAATAAAATTCACTTCTCTACAGGTAAAGAATCCTTGTATCAAGTATTATCACAAAATCTTTCTTTTCTTTTTCTCACTCTCTAAGTGCAGACTTCTAAATTTACCTAATATTTCAAAATATAAAGATTCATAGAAACAATCCAAAAAAGTCCACAGAAGCGCTTTTCCCATGGGAGAGGATTGAACTTAACAACATATCCCATGTCATCTTAATAATTCTTTACATTTATTTAGAATCTCTAGAATTGTAAAAACTGATTTTTTTCTCTTCCTAAAGACAAAATATTCCAAAATATTAAAAAGTATAATGCCACAGATTTTTCTTCTAATTCACTTACTTTCTACAATTCAGCCCACAATAAGACCCAGTCATGAGCCGTGGTACTACCATGCCAGACTACAGTAATCTTTCAGATCCCTGTGGTGCATCAGGACTTAAAGGTGCATGACTTTGGAGTGGCTTCCCACAATATCCTGTATAGGTGGTGGAGTTTGGGTTTTCTTTGCGTAAAGCAGTCTAGCTGTAAAAAACAGCTAAAAAAAAAAAAAAAAAAAAAAAAAAAAAAAAAAAATCCACACTACACAGAAAGTAATTTTGAAAAGCAGGGTGAGACGGCTCTTTGACCTTACAAATCAAGCTTCCACACTGGGAAGAGTGAGCCCAAATTTGCTTTATTATATATGGAGAAACTTCACAGATTTTCCATACAATATTCTTCTGCCAAATAAGGTAGGAGGTGGGTTGTCCAGGCCCAGTGGGTCATACCTAATTCTGAAGCTACAAGAGCAGCCCCTTCAGCCAAGGTAAGACTGAAATCACTTGCAATGCATAATTCATGAAGTGGGAGAAGCCACAAAATGACTTGCAATGCCAAACCAAAATCTCCGTGGCTCAAGGCCAAGTGAAGACAATAAATAGTTCAGGAGCGGCTTCCCACATAAACCGCAAGTTAACTTTACAACCTGTTCTTCACATGGACCCCTTGACCAAACCTATCTCTAAAAGGGGACTTCAACTGCTTCTCCCACTGCCATGATGCCCCCTATAACCTTTTAGCAGCAAGAGTGATCCTCACCCTTTTTATTATAGCAGCAAGGAGTCCATAGAATTAGATAGGGAAATAAAATAAAAATATCAGTCACTGTAGAGAGGCAATTGGGTCAGATCACAAAAAAAATGGAGACTGGTTTGGTTCCAAAAAGTTAGAGACCACCTCTGGGGGATTAAATGTTAGTACCTTCAGAGCCCTTCCTCCACCCTACCTAAGATAACATACTCCTGTTCCAACCTGTTGTTAAGTCTCTTCAACAGGATCAAACTGAAGCTCATAAATTCCTTAGGGAGAACAAACCCCAAGAGACCACTGATTTCCAACACCCATTCCAGACAGGAGACTATGTAAACAGCACAAAGGTGTCTGCTGAATAAAGAAAGAAAGAAGAAGAAGCAGACAGAAACAAAAGCAAAGAGTAAATAGCCCTCAGAGGCCCCAACCACCCTCTAAATATAAGAATAAAACATGTTGCTCATGTTTGTCTATTACTCAGACTTTTATAAAACCCTAGCTGCTAAAATAACATATTTTGTCAGTCAAATTATCATATGTTTGGCAATTACAACCTCTTCCTGGATTCGGAAGGTAAATCAAGGGTTTGATCATTTCTAGATAAAATTGGAATATTATGGACCAAACTACATGTGCCTTGATCAAACAAACTCCATTTTACCTTTAGACTCCATTTCATAAAAGAAAGATTTGTTCCATGAGAAACCTCTGCCTCTACCACCTCCTGCCAACCACACACTTTTTGGCAAGCCATGGTGGTTGAAAAATGTTTTTCTTATTCTTATACAATGTATTATCAAGAAATACAGTTGTAAGATGCTCTCTTTTAGTTGATATTTCTCATGGGAAGTGTACTGTACCTTGAACTGGGTCATTCTGACCCACCTACTATATAGCTATGGCTTTGAATTACTGGTAGTTTGCAGGTTTGGGCTACAAAAGAGATACCCTACTTTTTGCAAGGGGTTGAGATATGCAGAGGCAATGTGGTCAGTGGCCCTTGACCAAATGTCCATGTCTTCCTTCAAGCCTCATCCAGTGATTTATCTAGAACATACCACAACACCAGACTCCACTCTTCACTAAAATCAGTACCAGAGGCCATGAGCCTCATTGGTGACCTGGGAAAGCCCTGAATTCCAGTGATACACTGGGAAAAGCTTTCAACACCAATTAGACACCAGTTAAAGCCTGAATGCCAAGAGACAATTTTTAAGGCCTTTAAAATTGTACAAAATTATGGAACGCATTTGAGTACCCCTGAAATAATATGGACAACACTGAATCATAGCAAAATTTTGGAGATTGTCCTGAGAACTACTGATACACTGTGGAAAGTATGAATCCTTCTAAGGAATATGGAAAAAAACTTGAGTTTCATTGTTGAGGAGAAAAAAAAAAAACAAGAAAAATCAGGGAAAGGTCCACAAACTCATTTAGAGCTGGTGGAGGTCCAAAACCCCACTGAGAAGCTACTAAAGGCTTTTACTCTCACAGAAGCACTGGGGGAAAATCTGAGACCCAATCATATCTGAAATCTAAAAAAAAAAAAAAAACCTAGACAATACTCTGAGGTCCTTCCGATAAGCCATTGAAGTGAACACTGAGCCAGACTGAGACTCTGGAGAAAGCCCTGAGCTTCCACTAAGAAACATGGAGTAGCCCTGAGTACAACTGACAGAGTGGGTAGGCCCTGAGCCACACTATGACAATGTGAATATCCCTGAGTTTCAATGACACACTAGGCAAGGAACTAATCCCCATTGAGACACAAGTGAAGGCCAATATTTTCCAAGAATACTGGGGGGAAAATCTAAGCATTACTAGATATTGTGAAGCATCCTAAAACCCACTGAAAGATTAGGGCAGGCCCCAGGTTCACTATGATATTGGAAAGGCTCTGACATTCAATTAAACACCAAGAATATCCTGAGCACCACTGTGATACTGGGAATGGCACTGAGCTCCACAGAGACACTGGAAAATGTCCCTGGGATTCAGTAAAAAAAAAAAAAAAACCTGAAAAGCCTTAAACCCAATGTTTCCTTTGGGAAGATTCAGTGTCACTCTGATGCTGGAGGAAGCTCTGAACATCAACTGAGACTCTGAGAATAGCACTGAGCCTATGGAGAAACTTTATAAATTCAAGGAAAAAAAGGAGACACTGTGGATGGCTCTGAAATCCAGGGAGATTTAGAAAAGGCAATGAAACCTGTTAAGACCTCTGGAAAGAACCTGAGAACAAGGTGATCATGGGAATGGTGCTCATCTGCTCTTACACTCTGTGAAGGTCATGAGACCACAAAGACTCCTAGGAAGGCTGGGAATACATCTGTCAACTTAAGGAAGGCCTTTAGCATTCTTAAGACTCTGATGAAATTTTAACAACACTGAGCAAATAGTTATTAACACACTGAGACATTTATTGAGGCCATCAGCCTCTTCTAAGAAGTGGGCAAGAATCTGGACACCATGAAGAACATGTGGAGGTTTCTAAACATGACTGAAATTTTGAGGAAGGCCTTGAGCCCTCCTGAGACCCTAGAATAGGTCATGAGACACGCTGACAAAAAAAAAAAAGCCCCTGATCCCTTCTGATATCATGAAAAATGCCCTGAGAGTCCTGAAGACTGGGGTAGACTCTGGTCATCAGAGTAACATAGGAAAACTATAGCTTCACTGAATGCTTGGCAAGACAATGACACCAATAAGAGAAGGCCCTGGGAACAACTGTGACCCTGGGAATGCCAATGAACTCCACTGAGGACCTGGGCAAGGGGCTGAGATTTACTGACACTGAAACCAGTGTGTCTTTGGGGAAATATCTAAACTAAGATGAGACTCTGGGAATAGCACTGAACAAGACTGAGACACTGCAAAATATTCTGAGCAAAAGAGAGAGCCTGGTAATGGCCATGAATCCCACTGAGGACTTGGGCAACGCTTTTGGCTCTGTGAAAAATTTGGAAAACATCCTGAACCACATTGAGATTCTGAAAATATCTGAGAGATCCACTGAATGCCTGAGGAAGGGAAAAAAATGTTAAAATATTGGGAGACTTTCCCTGAACACAACTGAGAGAATAGAGACCATAAAACTCATTGAGATTCTGGGCAAGGAAAGAATCACACTCCATTGAATGAATATGAAAGGCCATGAGTCTCATACTGACCTGGAAATTCCAGTGATACACTGGAAAAATCCCTGAAACCCATTTAGACACCAGTGAATGGCTTAATTCTAACAAACACTTTTGAAGGCCTTAAAATCACACACTTGTTAAAAGCATATGGACACCCTTGGAATACTATGGACAGCCTTCTGTCT